GGAGGTTTCTGGAGGTGAAGTTGCAGAGGTTTCTGGAGGTGAAGTTGAAACGTCGCGCGAAGGGGTTGTGATTCAATTTTGGTTTCGGTTGATGTCGTTTTGGTTCAGTTTTGGTTTGATGTCGTTTTTCAGTTTTGGTTTAAAACTAAATACTGAAAATGGCATATGTTGTAATTTTCATATTTTGTAATGGTATTTTTGTTACATTTTGGTTTTTTGCCTTTTGCTAATTAGACTAAATTGTATTTCTTTCTACTAAATTAGTAAACTATATTATGCTTTAAAACTAAAACTCCCTAATAAATATGTGTGATGACTGTGTATGTATAGTCAGCAGTTTCACATGGTTGTCACGTGATAGTTGTTAAGCTTGTTAGAAAATTGTTAGGTGATTGTTAGTTTGTTATTATATAAATATACTACTGCATGTATGATGTAATTCATTCTCAACAGAAATTAGAATATTCATCTTCTTCTTCTTTCTCTTCCTACGTCTTTCTTATCTCATTGTGTGCTTCTCTACCTCGGTTCTTCTTCTTTGTGCCTCTGATTTATGCATATTCTTCCTCACATCGGTCTTTTCTGAAAATTCTAATTTTCTCAATTTCTTGAAATTTTTTCACCACTTCTACTTTTATGGTTTCCTCTCTCAAAATTGAAATCCTTCTCGACATGCTTACCCTTCCCTTGCTGATTTTAACTTCTTGAAGTGGAGTTATCAGATTGAATTTGTACTTCAAGGTTAAGACCTTTTCGGGCACTTTGATGGCTCTGTCGTTCCTCTTCCCAAATTCGCCATTGTTGATGAAGAAGAGAATGTGACAATTGTATAGACAATATTAATATATATTTGAGTCTGTGTCTTTTAAGGGTAGTTAGGTCTTTTACTTATCTAGGGCATCTTTATATGCCTATATATTGTAAGCTTACAGCTGCTGTATATTTTTATCGTTTGTGAATATATTGGCATTCTCTGCTTCTACTTGAATTGTTCACATGGTATCAGAGCGATCTTCTTGGGTTGCTGCCTGTTTTTTGTTCTTCCCCCCTTATGCCTTCTTGATTCGTGTTGCTGTGTTTCCTTGTTGATTTGCTGCTGCGTTTTCTGGTGTTGTCTACTCTTGTCTTCTTGGTTTTTCATCTATTTTGGTTTCCGCTGCTTTTGGTTCTTGTATCTTCTATATTGTTTTCCACATGGCTAGTGAAAAAGATGATTCTCTTCAAGCAATCAGCGTCAAATTGCATGGTGCTAATTATTTTTATTGGGCCTATGTTATGAAGAACTTTCTAATGGGAAAAGGAATGTGGGGTTATGTATCTGGCGATATTGTTGTCCCATCTGATAAAGAAGCAGAAAAGTATGCTGATTTGTTGAGTACGTGGCAGATGCAAAATTCTAAAATCATCACTTGGATCAATAATTCCGTGGACATCTCGATTGGTATGCAACTTGCAAAATTTGGTACATCTAAGGAAATTTGGGAACACTTAGAAAGATTGTACAAGAGATCCAACTTTGCTAAACGTTATCAGTTAGAAAGTGATCTTCGAGCCACCAAACAAGGAGATAAAAGCATTCAAGATTTTTATAATGTTATGACTGGACTTTGGGATCAACTTGCACTGACTGAACCTTCTGGACTTAGCTCTATTGATCTTTATTGTACATACAGAGAAGAGCAGCGCCTTGTTCAATTTCTCATGGCTCTCCGAGATGACTTTGAAGCACTTCGTGGTTCTATTCTTCATCGTAATCCCCTTCCTTCTGTTGATTCTGTTCTCAATGAATTATTAGCTGAAGAGGTTCGCTTAACATCCCATGCTGGTACGGGTCTTCTTCCTTTGCCAAACCAGACAGTCTTTGCTGCCCAATCTCGGTCCTTTCATTCTTCACAAAATAAGCCACGTCCTAGAGTTGCAGCTGATGAATGCGCCTTTTGCAAAGAAAAAGGTCATTGGAAATCTCAATGTCCTGTACTCCTTAATAAGAAGTCCCAACCACAGCAAGTCTTCCCACCCAAACGATCTCCAACAGCTGCAGTTGTTTCATCCCATCGCGAATCTTCCGCCAGTCCTACAGTGTCCCTGACTGCAGAGCAATTTCAGAAGCTTTGTTCTACCCATCAGCCTAATGCCTTGTCCATGATTTCCCATTCTTCAGGTTTGCCTTCCTCATCTTCTTCAGGTATATCCCCATCCACTTGGATCTTTGACTCAGGCGCTACACATCATATGACTAGTGATTTGTCATTGTTTACTTCATTGTCTTCTTTGTCCACGTCAATTTCTGTTTTGACTGCCAATGGCACTTCTATGTCATTGGCTG